AGGCAGTACTGCTCTGAGCAACCACAGCCCATGATAAGACTTCCCTATCTTCATAGGCTTTCTGATGCCATGCTTTTTTCCCTTTCAATTATAACTACTAAAGAAAGTTTATTTTTTTCTCCTACAGAAGTCATCTTAATTGAAGTATTGAATTTTTTTTTTTAAATTAGTGGAAGCATAACAACCGTACTGTGTTAAATCCTCACAATTCATTTTAGGCTGAATAAAATGGATTTACTACAGATTTTGAAAATTCTAACAGCTGGGGCAAAAGTTGGGATGAAGGCAGGTGGCTGAAGAGCTTTGGGAGAAGTTAATTTTTACCTCAATACAATGATTTCCCCTACATCTAAACAGACTTTGGCATTTATAACTTAGAATGGCAATAAAATAATCATGAAGATATTCTACACTAGTAGAATATTGCACATCTAGTTTTAATTTTGAAGAAGAGCATCATAAATTATTAAATTATTTCAGATTGACTATGCTTTGAGGTAATGCATATAGTATTAACAATAATAACCTATAGCACTTTATATCTATGACAATTTTATAGAGAATTTCACTGTTTAAATTCCAGTCTGTAGTAGTTGAATGTTTCCTTTTCAAAAATAGTGAGAAAAAAACCTCAAAAACATACACACCAGAAACTTCAACCTTTTAAAAACTGTATTCAGGTTTTTCTTTCACAGTATTGTTAAGTCCTGAAGATATACATATAGGTGAAAAGTGTCAAGAAGAAACACAGCAAAGAATATCCTGTTTGAAAGCAATTTTATCAGATTTTTTGAGCTATTTATTGTGCACCTGGAGTATTTTCAAATGAAAATACTACTTGACATGGGGAAGTGCACATAAAAATGATCCTAAATGGACATTTGCAATTAATCACACACATTCCCCACCAAATCTCCTAAAAAGATATCAACGGAATTTTATTTTTATTCCTTAATATTCATAAAGAAAATAGTGAATTATTTTTGGTTTTATGTGGCATTTGCTCATGTGCCACAGTTGCTCTTGCAATGAAGTGATTTATAAAGGTAAGATTTTCAAATGTTATATCAAATAGCTAAGGTGAACTATTGTGCACTGGCAATTTAAATTAAAACGGATGTTACTATATAACATCTATGTTGCTTGTAAAGAAAGGAAAAAATTGCAATCATCAATTGACAATAGGTAGGCCAGGTTTTCTTTATTGAAAAGATAAAGAGGATATGCAGTGCTCTTCTCCTATCTTTCACTTTTAAACTTTGTACCAGCCCATGAAAGCTCAAACTGATGACTGTACAATAAATACACGGGATACAAGTATGGAAATTTTATACAGAAAATTTCATCTACGCAACTTCCCTGCACGGATTTTCTCATGCCTAGTGAAATAGCACAAAAGTGCAAAAGAAAATACTACATATTGTGAGATTTTGGACTACTGTGACATAATAAACCACGGTAAAAATATCACAAGAAAGCAAGCACTAAAAGGTATGCAGTAACTGCATCCTATTCATGCCTCAGCAAGACAGATAAATGCAGTTTCCAGTCATTCCGAAACATAGAGGAAGAGGTATATAGGAAAGAGAGGAAGGGACCCCCCGAAATTAAATTGCGTTTGGTAAGTTTTCTTCTACCCTGGAGTTATTTTCACCCACCAGACTTTTATTGTGAATATTATGGGTAACGCTCAAATCAATAAGGTTTGTCTTAAAGCTGTACTTTGGATTTTAGACTTGTTATTAAAACATGCTTCAGCGCTGTCTCGGCACAAACTAAACTACCACTTTCATAAGTAGTTCCATCCAAACAGGTGTTTTTTTTTTTATTTTACCAAAATATTTTCTTCTGAACACCTACTACCACAGTCGATGTGCACTGCAAGAGTCCTAGAGACAGAGAATACAATAGAGAGAACAATTGTGGCAGTAATGCTTTAATGCAGCTGCTACTCAAAGTGAGATGAGTCAATCTTTTGCCTTAAACAAATAAGAATATAAGGTTTAAATACTCATTACTGGTGTCATTTTAATTTTTAATTTATGTAGAGAAAAAAATTATTTATAAACTTCTGTTATCATTCCAAGCAGGTAGAAAAAAAATCTGAACTAAAACAAATTTGCTGCAACTGCGTTCCCTGTATGTATCATCAAATGGGAACTGTCCCTGCATGGCACATGGTAGAGCATGATTGTAAAATGTTATGAAGTATCAATGCACAAAATCCAGGAACTGCTTTCTTGGATTAATGGCAGTAGAAGTACAATGTAGCATTTTTTTAGACACCTGAGTGCAGTATTTCAACACAAATTTGTAAAGAATGAGGAAATCTATTACATCAGTGAGTCCAAAAAGAAAATATCATTTGAAAAATATCATTAGAGAAGGAAACAAGATTATGAATTACCTCTGTAAAAGAGGTGGTTGTGAAAACCTGTGTCTCAAATGCAAAAATCGCTTTCTTAAGTTGTACTCTCAGGTTTATATTCTGATGCAGAGGTCTTATTGCCCATCAATAATTTGACATGGTGGACAGCCTACATAGAATTAATTTTGCTAACCACAGATTCCACGCTAAGTAGTTATTTCCATGTATGTATCTGCAACCATATGCGTCTCTGTTACACAAAATGCTTCCTATGTTTCTCTTTTGAAGAAGAAATATCTCAATAACACTTTTTTCCAGCTTTCTTCCACTGCAGCTCACGTTTACTTACTGAAAATATCCATATCTAAGTCAATCACACTTAGATGCCAAACAAAATATAAACAATAAAAAATGTGTCAGCCAAAAAACTGCAGGACTGTGTCCAATCACTGAATAAGCCTTATCATTGTTTCCATCTTCAATCACAATTTATGAATACTTTAGTCCTTTCGAATTACAATGGTTTGTAACTGCGGAATAACTTAAATCATACTTAGTTATTCACAGTGCAACTGTAAGTGCATCGCTGGCCTCTCTGTAGCAGCCCTGCAGCAGACATTACTTTCGCAAATTTTTTGCTTCTTTAGCTATTTGTTGCACCAATGTAGAAGCAAGCAGTTATCGCTTAATCAGTTTACATCACATCCTCCTAAGACAGACTTTCACGAAAGCTGAAAACTATCCCCGGGCTTTGCAGACGGGGTTTACCGTCCGAAACAGCCTCCGGTGCCCCGGCGCTCGCTCGCCGATACCGTATGCCGGCCGAGGACGCTGCAGGGGCACCCGGGGAACTTCCCAAACATGCTTCCGAAACCCCTCAGGTTTCAAAATCTGCCCTATGCGGCGGCGGAGACCCCCGCTCGGACTGCCCCCCGCTTGCCGCAGCGTCGTTGTCCCCCGCCCTCCGCGCCCGCTCCGCGCTCCGCTCCGCCGCCGCTCCCCTCCCGCCGTCCCGCTGACAGTCGCCGCTCGGGACCGAAAAGCGGCCGCAAGCGCGACTGTAAAAAAAGGGTCGGTCTCTCCCCGTGCTGGGGAGAGGGCACGCTCCTCCGCCAGCACCACAATTTAGCGGGGAGGGGGAAAACGACGTGCGCTTGTGTAACCGAACGAGAAAACACTGCACAGCTTGGTCATCCTCGCTCACATCTCCCTTATTGTTGGCAGCCTGCATATTATTAATTAAGCATAAAACGGGATTACTTCACACCGGCCAGTGGTCATGTTTTGTCAAAAAAAGCACTTTTCCTTTCAAATCCTTTCAGTAGGCTGTGTGTAAACAGGCGAGCTGAAAAGAGTGCAAATCGTTTTATTCCAATCAAATCAATACTTCTCAAACACGTTTTTTTAGCATAATTATGCTCATTTTCAGTTTGTTAACCTTTGACTTCTTGTGCACCAACAATTAACAGTATTTGTCTACGGGTGACACTTTGAATGGATCTCCCCAAAACAATGGCGTGGTACAGTTTATTCTTTAATATTCCCTCCTGAGTGAGGAGTTTGGATCTGACAAACAGTTACGACTGTGCTTTAACCCGTTACAACTACTAGCAATAACTCATTAACAACCCACATACATACATACATACATATATATATATATATATTTACATCCCAACAAACACGTGGAAATAAATAAATTAACAAATAAATTAAATAAAAGCGTCTATACCTGAGTGAGACAGATTGGAGAATACATCATGACTTCGCTTTGAGAACACGCTGCCCGGAGAGCCCCTAAGAAAAGCCTCAAAAAGGAATAATTTCATCTATTCATTTTACAGTCATCTGAGACTCAAGGAAGATGAAATCAATCAGGACGGGGCTCTGCTCTGGATCACCACAACTTCACAACAAACCCCAGTCCTCCTTAAATAGCCAAAGATTCAAGTTCAGTCCGTGTGCTAGATTTCCCGGGGTGAAATCCAATCTACACTTTTAACCCTCTTGTAGTCGGCGGCGCAGGAGTCTTGCTTTTGCTGCTGCTGCTGCTGCTGCTGCTGGTTGTTTTGCAGATGAGGGGGGAAGGACTCGGGGGGGGGGGGGGGGGTGGGCGGGAGGATTTTTTTTTTTTGTTTTTTTTTTTCCTTTTTTCTTTTTCCTTTTTTTTTTTTTTTTTTTTTTTTTTAGCAGTTGTTGGGGGGGGGGGCGGTCTTTTTTCTTTCTTCAGAAGTTGGTGGTGCTGCTGTAAAAACACGACACTGTCACCACGCTTTCGAAAGTTCAAGGTTACAGCCCGGAGCGGAGCAAGAGGCTCCCGAGCAGCGATGGCAAGCGAAACTTGGCCGGGCGGTCGGGCCCGTGCGGCGGGGGCGCGCCGAGGCGGGGGCGCGCTCGGGCGGGCAGAGCGGGCGGCGCGGCCTGCGGGCTTCTCCGGCAGCGCCTGCTCGCCCGCCCGGCCTCGCTCTGCGGGCAGCCGTGGGAGACGGCTTCCCAAACGGCCACCGTAATAAAAATGATCTCCTGAAAATTCAAACGATAAATCTCTCCCTGGCGCTCCCACCCGATTTGCTCTCAACGTGCCCGCGAGTGTCCCCCTCCCTACCCGGCCCTGACTCGGCAAAACTTAGAAGTTGAAAAATTCACCAGTTACACCCTGTGGACCCTATTCCAGCTCTCTCCCCAAATGAGATTTAAGTATTTTTGTTTAATTATTTAATTACACAATCACCGTTTACACTCCTCCTCCTCCTCCTCCTGCAAACACATTCCTTCTCCACCAGATCCCCTTCCTCTGCCCTCCCTCTGCATTCATTACCACCGAACGCTGCAGAAGGAACGAGCACGTTTCGCAAACATCCCTCCCTCATTTTCCCGCTCTTCTGGTGGGAGAAAGTTGCGGGGACGAAGGGGAGGGGGTGGGGAGGCTGCCATCTGCGAGAGGCTTCTTTCTCTTCTTTCGGGGTACGACTTTGCCAGCTGCAGCGGGGCTCAGGCGCCCCTGCTTCCCCCCACCCTCGGCGGGGGACACGGGGGACACAGCCCCCTCCGCCGCCCCCCGGAACGGGGGGAGCCTGTCCCACACCGATGTCCCCGCCCTCGCAGGCTGCGGCCGGGGGCGGCGAAGGGGTCCCGGCTCGCGGGAGGCAGCAGGGTGCCAGGGTCTGGATCCATTCTCCGGGGGCAGCTTTAACCAGGGGAGCTGGGAAAGGGGGAAAAACAGTGAGCTAAAATTATTTCTGCTCCTGTGAGGCGGGCTGCGATGCTGTGCCCAGCTCAGGGGGCGTCCGGTGTGTGCGGCCCCCACGGCCAGCATCGCCGCTGCGGGCAGGGGCGGCCGAGCGCCACCGGCGCTCCCTCCCGCTGCCCTTGCGCAGCCCCCGGCGGCGTGCCGGAGGGACCGCTGACTTCCTCCTTGCCCAAAGTGAGAGTTTATTCACGTCAGGCATTTCACAACGACACATCAAGGAAAGTAAGCAGGTTCAAGTCAACCATGAAATGGTCACTTTTTAACCCCGTCCTGTCCTCATTAGGGAAATGCTCAAACACAGCCCATTTTCAAAGAGGGCTCTTAATGAGGGGAGCTTGCCAAGGCTACCAGCTGCAATTCCCATAAATTTACAAACCAAAAGAAGCAGAGGGATGAGTGGGGGAAGGAGAGACTCTGTACAAGACAGGTAATGTCAAAAGAACCAGCAAGAGCCCAACGCAGTAATCTTTGCAGAATCCATGCTGCATCCCCACAGCTCGGTTTCTGGCTAGCTACTCTTTCCCAGATTTGCAGGGTTCAAACAACTGTCCTGCATCTTCTCTTCTACTGACTATTCTGATAAGCAACAAGTTAAGGACATAGGCAAAGATGAATTACACAAACTTGGGGTTAACCATAATTAGGAAAACTTATTTTTATGTCTGTTGTATAATACCCCTGAAATCCTATCGTTTTTCTCTCTATCCAGACACAAAAAGCTGATAATGCCAGCTTTAAATTATGGAGTTTCCCTTTCAATAAGTATTCTATTTAACTGGAGTTAATTTACCATAAAAGACATTCCTCTTGGCACAAATGCACTGATGTCCTTGAATACACCTCTTTGAGTGCTTGAGCTCTTACACAACAAGCCATTATTGCAGACCTGATTTAAAATGACAATAACTCTCCTCTGTCCCCTTTATCACTCTTATCCCTCCATAAGGATCAGGGCAACCTAACCAAATCCATAACATCACATCAGCAAGGCTGCCCGTGTAAGCTACATAGATGTGAAAAGTCTCCCTTTTTCCAGGCAGGGCTTGCAGAAGGCCCCACTCCCATGATCTTGCCAAGGGATTGCAGTTGCACTAGGGTCCTGTGCACTAAAAGCAAGAACTCCTGCCAGTCTGGCAAGCAGAAAAAAACAAATGTAGTGAGGTAAGGGCAGAGAGAAACCAGTCACTTTCTACAGCCTTTGCTATTGCAAGGGATAGGGAGTCTGTGTTCACATCACCAGGAGAGCTGGCTGAGTGTGGGTTTGCATCTCTTCCCAGAGGGCACAAGGTGGGAGATTGAGCACAGACAGCCCTGCAGCATGTACCCGTATCCCCCAGAACAGCACTGCTGCAGAGCAGGCAAAGCCAGATACTCCCACCCCCCAGACCAGTCTGCTGGCCAGGATTGAACAGGCCTCTTATATGAAAGCATCTTGGAGAAAACGGAGCTGCCCAACCAGTATGGCTCAAGCAAGCATTTTGTCTTCTGTATGATCTATAGGGCATGGCAGGCATGGTAAACGTTGCCATTGGTTTGCCCATGGGTTTGATCCAAAGACTCCCAGTATATGACAGAAAGCAGGCTGTACTGGGCATCCAAACGTGTTTTGGCTCTCTTGCTCCTGGTTAATCCCAGTGGAAACCCATAAAGGATGAAGGCTTTTGTCATGCTCAGAAACACATGTGTGCACATGCTTGTGCCCCTCATCTTCCTCCATCCCACCCCAACCCCTCAGCTCCTTTCACAGAAGAGCAAGCTAAAGATTATTTTCAGAATGGATAAAGAACTACATTAAAATCAGAACAAAGTGTAAGTCTCTATCACTTTGCTGACAAGGCATGCAGGGTATGTGGTAACTGGATTAACCTGGAGAAATATGGCATGAATGCAGCAACGACACTAGGCACAGTGGCTGGCCCTTGGCATGCAGGGAGGCCTTGTGAGAAAGTAGTTAAATTGCTTTCAAATTACAACTTGCATTATTTCGTCAACCACCCCAAAGACCCTTCTCTCCATCCCCACATACTAAAATCCCTGTTAATACTGCAAACACTCCATCCTTGAAGCTCCAGGCTGGAGGACAATTGCTTTTTGTCTTCACTGCCAGAGCTATGCCAACCTCATGCTGTATCTGGAAGTTCAACTAGCATTTCAGTGTGGGCAATTTAGAAAATAAAAAACACTATCTGACCTTCCCAGAGAGAGACACTGAGAGTGGTTCTCTGACACTAATCCTAGCCCAGGCTGGCCAAAGGGATGCATCCAGTAGGATGCAATATGAGAACTGATAACACTGCTTGGACACACACACAGCTGGGCACCTGCACACGGCTGCTACAAACCTTCACGTGACAAAAATGTACATTCAGGAAGAAAAGGCAGCTTTCACACTAGTAAGTGGCAGATACCAAAGCTGCGAGGAGTCACCCTCACTGTGAGCCTGCACTCTCCAGACTGGGGAGCTGCTCCCATGCTCCCCCTGCCTCCCATTCAACTCTGGCAGGGTGGTTAGGATAGGAGGACATCCACTGCCCGCACTGCGTGATCTGAGATGCTCATCTCACAGGAAAGAACCACAAAGGTTTTTTAACACCATGGACAGATGGGCTCACGCTCCTGTACCCATCCTAGTTTGCCAGGGCAGTTTTCTGCCAGCAGTGCAGACCCTGGTATGCCAAACTTGCACTAAAAGTAGAAAGGCCATTTAGACCACTTATATAGACCAGAATTTCAACTGTTGTCCTTTGGCTGGACAACTGCTTGAGTTTTTAAAGTTTTGGAGCACAAGACAATTATTAATGGAACAAAAATAAAGAAATCACTAATGCTGAAGTGCGAAGCCTAAGATTATCTCAGAATAAATGTGGGCAGTTTGGCCAAATATCTAACTATACACATACTGAGCTTCTAAAAAATCAAGTTTTCATGAAAATTCCAGATGTCTCTTCATAGAAATCAGAAATAACTGATTCTGGCATGTGCCTTTTCATCTAAAGTATGGAATACCTGAGAACTAGCACCAAAACTCTTGTGTAAGAGGTCTTTGTGATCCAAAACACAAGTTTTTTATCTAGTTTAATAATACAATTAACTCCTTTATCACCCTTTGTTAGAAAATTTCATTAACCCACATGTTAATTCAATAAACAATTACTTGAGTACATGCATAAATACTGAGTAGCACAAACAGAGTATAGTTTATGTCACTCGTGCATAACAAGTAATCTAAACCATATTATATTATATTGTATTGTTACCTGATGGTGATTCTATCTGTATGATTCTGTCATGGTGCCTTGAAGTCTTCTTGTACAAGCATATTAACCTACAAAGTAAACCTTTGCATCTTTGGCATGAACAGAACCTTGAACAGTTTTTTTATGTGCAGGAACATTGTATGTGCAAGGAGATATATATGTATATACAAACATACGTATATGCACAGAAATTCTGAGAAAAAAACACATACACAGTTAAATAAGAAAACTGATAGTATATTGGCTTATGGGACCTTTATATGCTTCACATGAAACTGAATTTTAAGTTATTCTTGAATTAAAATGTAAACAACAGTTTAAACAACAACAACTTCTAAGCCAGTACAGTATCACAACAATAAAATTATGTATCTTAATAATTACTAGCATTTTTTACTTGGTTTTGGGGGGTAGGAAGAAACATATACTGTACATAAACTATGTATATGTATGATCAGATAGAAAGTGTGCATATATATATACAATCAAAAGGAAAGAAATACACCACTTACTCTAAACAAAGACACACATACATATGACGTGTTTGTGCACTTGACCCCTGTCCACATATGGTTTGATGGGGACTATAATACTTGAGTTTCCCACAGCTCCCAGACCAGCAAATAAAAACATCAAACCTCAAGTGTAAAGCTGTAAACCACAGCATTTTGGGTTACACAACTGTGCAGTTTTTGTCCTCACTGCAGGTCACATCCCTGGCCTTACAAACGTATGAAACCCTCTTTTTCAATACGGTAAATTCTTTAAAAATTCACGTGTGCTGATCTCAAATGCCTTGGACATAAACAGCAATAACAACAAATAAAATTCCAAGACAATTCTTTTTTGGCAGTTTACATCACTTGCCAGATTTTGAGAATATTGGGATGGAGGAGGGGTAGGGGAAGCATCTATAAGCTGGATTTAAATGACTGCCTAAATTAGACTTATAGTAGTGTTTGATCTTTTTCTTGTGATTCAACATTAAAATTGTAAGCATTGCAGTACAAAACCGCTTCAGAGAATGTTACGAGTTAATCCTGTGTGCT